CTTCTTTATGCCACCACCAAGCTTCTCTTTGCCCAAAAAGACACCTCCAGTCTTCTCCCCACCTCCGGTGTTCTCCCCACAACCGTTCTTCTCCCAAAGACACAAAGCAATGCCTGTCAGTGCCCTCCCCCTCCTCCTCTACAAAGAAACAGCACCAGCCTCCTCCTGCAGTTCCTGCAGCAATGGGGGCTACATCCATTGATGATCTGGTGGATGCTGCAAACAACATGAGTCTTGAAGATGGCAGTCATGTTTGGATCTTGGGAAGTGCCTATCCCACTATCATTGGAACTTGGGACTCACAGGACACCAATGATGATGATTCCTCTGACAAAGATTATGAAGATCAAGTTTTCACATTGATCAGAATGATCATGCACAAGGCCATTCATGTGGGCCTTATCTTCCCTGAGTGGTTGGTGGATCCCTTCAATCTTCAGTTCACTATCTGGTATCCAAAGTGGTTCAAGAAGGTCTCCAGGCATGTTGCAATTCAATATGAATAGAAGCACCAGTTTGATGGGAAGCATGCTGTCATTAGAACTCTGAGATGCTATCTCAAAAACCTCTACAAGAAAGATGATAGTGTTGTCAAACCATTGATTTTGAGCAACATGTTTTCTACGGCGTTTCTACACAGCTTTTGTACTACAGAGCTCCAAAAAGTGGTGGTCCTTGTTTAGCAGCTGGACCAGCAGCTGGCCTGCTGGCCTGCTGGCCTGCTGGCATGCAAGTAGTAGGATTTTGAATGTGAAATACAAACCAATCAATTTTGACCAATATGCGCAGTCCCCTTGATTTGCTATTTTCTACTGCGTTTTCTACACAGCTGTTGTAATAGAGCTCCAAAAAGACCAATTTTTGCTTGGTCCTTGCTGAGCTGGATCAGCAGCTGCAGTATATTTTTGAGTACTTGCACTAGGCTCCAGTAGGATTATGAATGCGAAATAGAAATCAATCAATTTTGACCAAAATCTGCAGGTTACCCCCTTGATTTGCTATTTTCTATGGTGTTTTCTACACAGCTTTTGTACTACACCAGCAGAGCTCCAAAAGACCAAATCAACCTCCTTTAGATTCACACACAAACACCGTGTCTTCACACACAAACACCGTGTATTTTCACACACAAACACCATGTATTCACACACAAACACGCACAATCCCTGTATCAACACTTGCTACTGACCAAATCAAACACCATGGGCAACAGCCTAGCACTGAGACCTCTAGTAGGACAGCACGAGATGTAGGAGAAGTACAAATAGGACTATTGTAATGGTTAGCGGGCCTCAGAAAAGGAGCCTTCCTATAGCAAAATTCAGCAGCTCACTTGCCAAGGAGGAGGACAAGAGGGGGAGATGGGTGTTAGTTGTGTAATCCAATGCTTGCAAGGTTGAGCAGAGTGGAGGAGACTCTGTGCCTCTGATTTTCTTTTTAGATAGGGACAGCATGTGCCACCAAAATCAGAGGACGGGGTGTTACTTTTAGAACAGGAGCAATGGCTTTACTTGGGGTATTCCAGTGACTGATTGGTATAATCAGTAAAAGGCAAAGGGACAGGGGTAGTAGATTCCTTGGAGGCAGTGCAAAAGAGATATTTGAAGGCACCTTTTTTTAGAAGGGGCTAGAGGTCAGCTTGGGGAACTTAAAATTTTGGGTTTTCATTTTCAAATTGCCAGCAGCAAGAACATCAGAAGAAACAGAGGCCTAGGAGGAATCCTTTGAGTGATTGCAGAAAGAATACTGGAGGGAGAGTTGAGCRAGAGAGGAATCAACCAAAAAAGAGGGAATTGATTCTAGGGATTCCAGTCAGAGAGGACAAGCAGGAGGTGGTGGAGCTGCTGGGGCTGGAGGACAAGCTGGAGGAGGCTTCAT